CAACAAGGTTTATTCATATTTACTAAAAAAATACAGAATTTATCATATTTTTAATAATAAAATGTAAGTTTTATATGGCTTTGTGAACCTCTTCCACTGTGAGGGCCTAAAATAGAATTTATTAAGCAAATGCCATCAGTTACATAATACTGTATACTGTTCACAGTATTATGTGACATAGTATAAAGCAATATTAAAATTACAATTAAATTCTACACAGTATATAAAATATAAAGGCAGAATGTTACTTTATTGTCCCAATATAAAATTACAAAATTAAGTATGTACAAATAAACGATTATTAGTCTACTGCCAAGTACCCATGCATATACACTTTATATTTGAAAAATCTCTCTTAAAAAATTACAGATTAATATGCATGTAGATTTCTCACCCTTTTCGACAAAAATAAAAGAATTAAAAATTACAGTAGAGTAATATCTATAAATTAGAAATACACAAGTCAGTAAAGTTTCTGTTCAGCCATTTCCTAAGGATTTATTCACTTTACAAGCACAAATTTAATCGCTTTCGATGTTCTTGTAAGAAAGGATATCACGTAGCCAAAGCGAAAGTAGCACTACGATTGACATCAGCGCCATCTTGTCTGTGACGTCACTAACCTCGCTGTGTGGACCGAACGGTTATAATGGAGGAATATAAGCGCTTTCGACACTATATTTTCTAGCCACTGTAACCACGACCACGTGAATTATGAAAGTTTGTATTCGATATCGGGCACTTGTGCTATTTGAAAGGTTTTCTTCCATAAAATTAATCAAATCTAGACTAATTTCACTCGAATATTTTTAAAATACGTATAATTTGTTGAAAATGATCGATATAAAATATTCTATGAACAAAAAATTGTCGGAATACTTATCGAGTGTACCCGTTCGAAGACACCATTGCTTCAGTTTGCTTTTGTCGCGGATGGCAAACGCGACAAAAACGGTGGACGGCGTAAGCGTACGAAGCGTGTCACGTGACATTTGTTGTCCGTGCTGTTCGGTAACGTGACTACTCATCTCTAATGTGTTCCTGATAACTTATTCTTTTTGCGAAGAATTCGCTGAACTTTAGAGACCACGTGATAGATCATAATATACTATACATTTTTATTGTAATTAGAAACGACTTATTATTATTATTGACTATATGAAGCAATAAATGAAAAACCGCTCGCGAACAGCACAATTGCCCGATATCGTTTGTATTAGCAGTATCTTGTATTTATAGCCTATTAACAGAAAATATGTACCTACGTTTATATATTTGAGAAGTTATTTATTCGTTAATCGTAAAACTAAACACAGAGGATTTGTCTATAACAGCAGTTCTTAACCATTTTATTGGTCACCGTTGAATCTGAAAATAATTCTATTAAAACGAAGCTCTTTTTTGAGAGTCACGCGTAGGTCATCACATGCATTTAAGCAATTTCTGGCTTTTGATTTTATGTGCAAACACGTCTCAACTAGTTTCTATACTGCACGTGACAATGTGACTACATTTACTGCATGTACTGACAGATGACAAGCGCTATGTGCTGAGAGACTATAGTGTGTGTAGAAGTTGGGGTGCCGTGTTGCTGGGTACCACAGTTTATAGAGAACACAGTCGCCTTGATAGTATTTTTTTTAATAATTTTTGAAATTTCTCTTTCACCCCAACCTCAGGTCAAGAATATCATCGTACAGGGATCATCCTTACTGTATGAATTCTCCAAAAAAAATGTATGATTCTGCCTGTTACCGGTTAGGGCGCTACATAACCCATAAAACATTCTGTTAGTTATTAGGTGTATAACGTCGAGTGCGTAAATGGAGCTCGCTATTCAACATTTTATTGTTACTCAAGGATTCAGCCACTAGCATAGTGACACTTTTTTAGATATTTTGCCCATTCCCACGCATTGCAACAATATACATCTGCTGTACTTTGTCCGCTAAGACGCTACATAGTTGTGATTTTATAACCATAAATCTGATTAAGCTTTTCAAAATACGCCCATTTGATATCACTCTATTAATTTTTTAACCTTTTTTTTCTTTTGTAGGTGATCAAGATAATGATCAATTGTTTACCGATGAAGAAGAAGAAGGTAACCAATCAATTCATAAGTTTATTCATAGAAATTTTATTATTTTACGTGTTATTAATTACTACATATTATACAAGTAGACGCAGTTGTTACGTTTAAATTATTATTATTATATAAGGTGATGCACGAGAAAGTAGCCACAGTGTGTAGCTTAGCACAGTAATAAGCACAGAAGCTAACTGTTTGTATTAGAGACATATATTTATCACCTGTTTCATCTATACGAAGCTACGCACGTCGAATCGTGTTTAGTAAGATTCTGCGTGAGCTAGTGACCATCTATGGTGGCGATTGTATATGGATTTGTTTAAAAATTTTGATTTGACAACCCACACGAATTTCCCAAATTTACGTGGAACATTGAATTAAGGGAACTAATTTTGACAATCTTTTCAATTTTTAGAATAATGAGAAAAACTTAACTTTGTAATGGGCATAAAAAATTCTTAATTTAAAGAAACAAAGTATGGTGCATATACGAGATCATATCTGAATGGAAACTCTCTTTAATCTATTTAATATTTTAGAAATAATGGATGAAGAAGGAACAGATGGTGAAGGAACAGAGGCAGAAGAAGAAGGAACAGAAATGAACGACCAGAACATTGAATTGGCAGCAAAACTTCAAGTATCAAGATTCGGAATATGTTATGTTTGTGAAGAAATAGGTCTAGAATACAGCAGCATATACTTATGTTGCGAGTGCGAGTCAAAAATAGAAGAACTGGTTGAAAAGGCGCAAACAGCCTTCTGCCGTGATGGATGTCCCAAAAATTGTTCTTCCTGTCTTCTTTCTATTGTTTTCCAATACTTGAACGTGAATAATATTTATAGTGAGTATTTTTATTACTTAGAGATTGTCTTATTTCTTTTTAAAATTTATTTCTTCTATACCTAGCATATGAGAAAATCGATTACAATTTGGAATTAATGATAGAGTATGTGTATGGAGGATCGGAAGACAAGGTAAGTCCTCTCTTAAATTAGTATCGATTTATAATAGTAGATTCATGAACAGTTTTCGTTACAAAATGGAATTTTAATTCAATATTATGGATTATTCAATTGGATATTCCATTCGATGTGTGGAATCCACAAGATACGCGATGATACATGTCAATATACAAGAAACTAAATATTTTTATATGAAAAACAGTCTTTGGAAGAAACAGGTGCCGATGCTCACTTCGCCAAATACATGGATCGGTGTTGGGAGCGATATGTTCAATGGATCTGGGAGCAGAAAGACATCTTTCAACTGAACGTCGACCAAGTGGTAAGTGACCTTCAGATGTAACATCCTCTTAAGACTGACGTATTTAAGGTTATGTTAGCATCTTCTTTGCTCATTAAGTCTCTTCAAGTTCACTTTCTCAAGTGTTTTATATGGACAATCTGTTCTGCAAATGTCTATTATGAGCCTGAAAAAAGACTTAATTGTTAACATAAGTGCAAAAAATGAAAAAAAATTTTTAAATAGAACTAAATTTTCTTCAATATATAGACGTTTTTACTGACCATGCACTTAATTTATTTGCATTTAAAATTTATTTACATTTGTTTCAATTCTTAAACACAACAGCAGAATGTGTAGATGCAATGATTTTTCCGTTGGTGACATAGTATGTTTAATTATGAATTGTTTTTGGGGTCGTCATTAAAAAAATTAGCATTCTCCAGCACTTACGTATATTTGGGTGATTGAGTTTGTTTGTTCATACATACTCTGGGTGGTTGGATTGAAGTACAATTACACTAAGATGAAATGAAGGATGAAATTTCAGGTTCTACCCTCTAGAAAAAATTAGGATTCATACCACTTATAACACTAAGTGAGTATATTGATGAATGGTCATCTGGGATAATCAGAAGGGGAAGAAAGAAGGATTTCAAAGTTCTTTTGCTTATTACACTTACAATACTTTATACAACTTAAAAGGATTTTAAAGTCCCGTTGAACTGTTGAATAAGGATTATTGAAAGCAACACTTGGCTAGATCTCTGAAGAACGATAGACACTTTGTAGTTGGTGCTGTAAGTCAAGGTTTGATTTTAGCGAAAGACTTAATTGGCTCCCAGTTTAGTGTAGTATTTCACAATTCTAGTTTAGGCTGGAGATTCATTATGATTCTAAACGAAGATTTGTTTTCGTTACAGATCGTTCTTTTAAAAGCAAATGGCAACAAAGGAAGGTACCTAACAGCAATAGCCGATCAATTAGGCAAAGGGCCAGCCTTCAAAGTAGACGGGGGATACATCAATCCAGATGACATAAAATTTTGCGAGCATAGATGCTTGCTCATTATTATCCTGAAAACAGCCACACAGATGTTCGATTTAAAATTTACATTTTACCATTTGTATCTCCTAAAGTTGGTTTGCCTCTTCAAGTTAGGTAAGTGCTCAGTCCTCGTTATTCTCCCTTTGATCAAAATATATTTCAATCTTGTCTTTTATCTCTAGACGAGACAGCAAGTGGAGCGAGTATCGCTCATCCAGAAGCAACGATATTAGCTGAAGAATATTCGATCTTATTAAAGAAAATATGCGAAGTAGAAGTGCAAGTGGTAACAGTCGAAGAAGTTATGAGTTTGGTACAGTTCCTTGACAAGGAAATGACCATCAGAGATGAAAACAGTAAGACAGTGGAAAGACATATCGAGGATTTATGTAAGTAGGATAACAATAGTTTTTCTTTTTTTTTTCTTTTTTTTTCGAGTCTAATGAAATACTTTAATTTTTAGTGGAGGAAAATAGAGGAAAGATCAGTTTTCAACCTCCAGTAAGTAACTTTTTCGATTTGTATATTATTCTATTAGAAAATTGTACTTAAAGCAGTGGATTGCAGACTATGAAAAGGGGGAACAAGCTATTAAAGAGTGCATCGTACTGTACGTTATGCAAAAAACTTCAAAGTCAGATTAACGCCCTCACAAGGTGGCACTTGTTTCACTCGAAAATAACGAATGGGTTTTGGTCAACATATGAAGTTGCATGGGTCAATAACCAAATATTGTTCATTAGTTTGTTTTCGCAAATTTTCTATTTTGGGATTAGGAAAAGGGAAATCGAGACGAAAATGGAGGCACGTGTCCCTTTTTACGGGAGCCCCTCACTTCAACAATTTTTTTATCTTCAGGGATTCAAATCCGAAACTAATTTTTCTGATGATTCTTCAAGAATTTCAAGATCATTCGTCGTTCAGGTTTATCAAATATACACTTCAAAAAACTTTCCTCGGTGATCGAAATCGACTCAACATGCCAGTTGAGTTTTTTGCGATGTAACAATTTAAACTTTATCGTAATTGCAGACTTTAAATTTATTCTGTCTAATGAAGTCTTTGTTGTAAATTTTCACTAATTTAACACATTCTTATTTTAGCGCCCACTCGGAAACAAAAGTATTTCATATCGCTTCATAAATGAAGGCTTCGCTCGATGTCTGTTGAAAACAAGGAAGTACCTCTTGAATCACTTTACTGTGCATGATTCTCGAAGCTTGATTCAAGCCAATATAATCAAAGTGGTGCTGTTTATTCGCGCAATGAGTGATATTCCAGAATCGTCGCCCTACGATGATGAAATCGCCTCAGAATTGAAGTATATGATTCAAAATATAAAAGACACTGCCTATCGAATGGGATTACATGAGGGAAACCCATTAGTACCAACGCAAGTGGTGTTGTTGACGGATCCGGGTGAGTAAAGAATTATTTTCGAGAAATTTCAGTTGTATAAATTGAAATCTCTGTGTTTAATGTTACAAATAGCACAAATATATTTTGCTTTCTAACGGAATTTGTAAAGAAAATAATGAAACGTATCACTCTATTAGATAGACTTTTTGAAATCCTTAAATTCTGTTCATAAATAGAAAAGATTTTTTTGATGAGGTGGAAAATTTATCCAATTGACATACACGTGCAATACATTGTATCAGTGTTAAATTAGTTCTTCAGTCTTGTAATGGGTTCATAAACCATTCTTTATATCTTTTAATCTCTCATAGTTAAACAGTTTTATTTCCTAGTCAAATATGATTTCTCCCATAAGATTCTGTAAGCAATTTGCTTCAGATTAACATATCCTGTTTTTTATTACATCTGAGCCTTACTTATGCCCATTTGCATGTCATTAGAACATATTAAAAGAGTTGCTACACACTGAGATATTGGTTGGAAAGGGNTCTTGGAGGGGCCTCGCGCAACAACCAAGTAGAAAAAAGTTGATATTTAAAACTTTTTATTTTATCCTTGGCTATTAGTTATAACAATAAAATAAATTTAATTTATAGTACAGTATATATTAATATTAATAAGTGTTTACTATTTCAATTAACATACTTTGCACAAAGGACAAGGGCCTGGCAAAGATCTGCCGCCCAGAGCCGCGCAATGAATAAGGCCGTTGCTGGGAATACTTATCGAGTGTACCCGTTCGACGACACCATTGCTAAGTTTGTTTTTGTCGCGGACGGCGGGCGGCGTACGCATACGAAGCGTGTCACGTGACATTTGTTGTCCGTGCTATTCGGTAACGTGACTACTCATCTCTAACGTGTTCCTGATAACTTATTCTTTTTGCGAAGAATTCGCTGAACTTTACAGACCACGTGATAAATACTATAGATTTTTATTGTAATTTGAAACGACTTATCATTATTATTGACTATATGAAGCAATAAAGGAAAAACCGCTCGCGAACAGCACAATTGCCCGATATCGTTTGTATTAGCAGTGCCTTTTATTTATAGCCTATTAACAGAAAATATGTACCGACGTTCATATATTTGAGAAGTTATTTATTCGTTAATCGTAAAACTAAACACAAAGGATTTGTCTAAAACAGCAGTTCTTAACCTTTTTATTGGTCAGCACCCCGTTGAATCTGTAAATAATTGTATTAAAACGAAGCTCTTTTTTTGAGAATCACGCGTAAGTCATCAGATGCATTTAAGCAATTTCTGGCTTTTGTTTTTATGTGCAAAAGTGCTGTATTCAAGGTATGCAAACACGTCTCAACTAGTTTCTGTACTGCACGTGACAATGTGACTACATTTACTGCATGTACTGACAGATGACAAGCGCTATGTGCTGAGAGACTATAGTGTGTGTAGAAGTTGGGGTGCCGTGTTGCTGGGTACCACAGTTTATAGAGAACACAGTCGCCTTGATAGTATTTTTTTTAATAATTTTTGAAATTTCTCTTTCACCCCAACCTCAGGTCAAGAATATCATCGTACAGGGATCATCCTTACTGTATGAATTCTCCAAAAAAAATGTATGATTCTGCCTGTTACCGGTTAGGGCGCTACATAACCCATAAAACATTCTGTTAGTTATTAGGTGTATAACGTCGAGTGCGTAAATGGAGCTCGCTATTCAACATTTTATTGTTACCCAAAGATTAAGCCACTAGCATAGTGACACTTTTTTAGATATTTTGCCCATTCCCACGCATTGCAACAATATACATCTGCTGTACTTTGTCCGCTAAGACGCTACATAGTTGTGATTTTATAACCATAAATCTGATTAAGCTTTTCAAAATACGCCCATTTGATATCACTCTATTAATTTTTTAACCTTTTTTTTCTTTTGTAGGTGATCAAGATAATGATCAATTGTTTACCGATGAAGAAGAAGAAGGTAACCAATCAATTCATAAGTTTATTCATAGAAATTTTATTATTTTACGTGTTATTAATTACTACATATTATACAAGTAGACGCAGTTGTTACGTTTAAATTATTATTATTATTATTATTATATAAGGTGATGCACGAGAAAGTAGCCACAGTGTGTAGCTTAGCACAGTAATAAGCACAGAAGCTAACTGTTGTTATTAGAGACATATATATTGTAAATTATCACCTGTTTCATCTATACGCAGCTACGCACGTCGAATCGTGTTTAGTAAGACCCTGCGTAACCTAGTGACCATCTATGGTGGCGATTGTATATGGATTTGTTTAAAAATTTTAATTTTTGATTTGACAACCCACACGAATTTCCCAAATTTACGTGAAACATTGAATTAAGGGAAGTAATTTTGACAATCTTTAAAATTCTTAGAATAATGAGAAAATCTTAACTTTGTAATGGGCATAAAAAATTCTTAATTTAAAGAAACAAAGTATGGTGCATATACGAGATCTTACCTGAATGGAAACTCTCTTTAATCTATTTAATATCTTAGAAATAATGGATGAAGAAGATTGTGAAACAACAGAGGAAGAAGAAGAAGAAGAAGAAATGGAAATGAACGACCAGAACACCGAATTGGCAGCAAAACTTCAAGTATCAAGATTCGGAATATGTTATGTTTGTGAAGAAATAGGTCTAGAATACAGCAGCATATACTTATGTTGCGAGTGCGAGTCAAAAATGAATGAACTGGTTGAAAAGGCGCAAACAGTCTTCTGCCGTGATGGATGTCCCAAAAATTGTTCTTCCTGTCTTCTTTCTATTGTTTTTCAATACTTGGACGTGAATAATATTTATGGTGAGTGTTTTTATTACTTAGAGATTGTCTTATTTCTTTTTAAAATTTATTTCTTCCATACCTAGCATATGAGAAAATCGATTACAATTTGGAATTAATGATAGAGTATGTGAATGGAGGATCGGAAGACAAGGTAAGTTTTCTCATGAATTAGTATCGATTTATAATAGTAGATTCATAAACAGTTTTCGTTACAAAATGGAATTTTAATTCAATATGATGAATTATTCAATTGGATATTCCATTCTATGTGTGGAATCCACAAGATACGCGATGATACATGTCAATATACAAGAAACTGAATATTTTTATATAAAAAAACAGTCTTTGGAAGAAGAAGGTGCCGATGCTCACTTCGCCAAATACATGGATCGGTGTTGGGAGCAATATGTTCAATGGATCTGGGAGCAGAAAGACATCTTTCAACTGAACGTCGACCAAGTGGTAAGTGACCTTCAGATTTTACATCCTCTTAAGACTAACGTATTTAAGGTTATGTTAGCATCTTCTTTGCCGATTAAGTCTCTTAAGGTTCACTTTCTCAAGTGTTTTATATGGACTGTCTGTTCTGCAAATGTCTCTATTATGAGCCTGAAAAAAGACTAAATTGTTAACATAAGTGCAAAAAATGAAAAAAATTTTTTAAATGGAACCAAATTTTCCTCAGTATGTAGACGTTTTCGCTGACCATGCACTTATTTATTTGCATTTAAAATTTATTTACAATTGTTTCAATTCTTAAACACAACAGCAGAATGTGTAAATGCAATGATTCTTTCATTGGTGAAATAGTATGTTTAATTATGAATTGTTTTTGAGGTCGTCATTTAAAAAATAAGCATTCTCCAGCACTTACGTATATTAGGGTGATTGAGTCATCGTTTGTTTTTACATACTCTGGGTGATTGAAGTACAATTACACTAAAATGAAATGAAGGATGAAATTTCAGGTTCTACCCTCTAGAAAGGATTAGGATTCATACCACTTAAGATACTAAGTGAGTATATTGATGAATGGTCATCTGGGATAATCAGAAAGGGATGAAAAAAAGATTTCAAAGTTCTTTTGCTTATTACACTTACAATACTTTCTACAACTTAAAAGAATATTAAAGTCTCGTTTAACTGTTGAATAAGGATTATTGAAAGCAACAATTGGCTAAATCTCTGAAGAACAATAAACACTTTGTAGTTGGTGCTGTAAGTCAAAGTTTGATTTTAGCGAAAGACTTAATTGGCTCTCAGTTTAGTGTAGTATTTCACAATTCTAGTTTAGGCCGGAGATTCATTATGATTCTAAACGAAGATTTGTTTTCGTTACAGATCGTTCTTTTAAAAGCAAATGGCAACAAAGGAAGGTACCTAACAGCAATAGCCGATCAATTAGGCAAAGGGCCAGCCTTCAAAGTAGACGGGGGATACATCAATCCAGATGACATAAAATTTTGCGAGCATAGATGCTTGGTCATTACTATCCTGAAAACAGCCACACAGTTGTTCGATTTAAAATTTACATTTTACCATTTGTATCTCCTAAAGTTGATTTGCCTCTTCAAGATAGGTAAGTGCTCAGTCCTCGTTATTCTCCCTTTGATCAAAATATATTTCAATCTTGTCTTTTATCTCTAGACGAGACAGCAAGTGGAGCGAGTATCGCTCATCCAGAAGCAACGATATTAGCTGNGTTATTCTCCCTTTGATCAAAATATATTTCAATCTTGTCTTTTATCTCTAGACGAGACAGCAAGTGGAGCGAGTATCGCTCATCCAGAAGCAACGATATTAGCTGAAGAATATTCGATCTTATTAAAGAAAATATGCGAAGAAAAAGAGCAAGAGGTAACAGTAGAAGAAGTTATGAATTTGGTACAGTCCCTTGACAAGCAACTGACCATCAGAGATAAAAACAGTAAGACAGTGGAAAGACATATCGAGGATTTATGTAAGTAGGATAACAATAGTTTTTCTTTTTTTTTTCTTTTTTTTTCGAGTCTAATGAAATACTTTAATTTTTAGTGGAGGAAAATAGAGGAAAGATCAGTTTTCAACCTCCAGTAAGTAACTTTTTCGATTTGTATATTATTCTATTAGAAAATTGTACTTAAAGCAGTGGATTGCAGACTATGGAAAAGGGAAACAAACTATTAAAGAGAGCATCGTACTGTACGTTATGCAAAGAACTTCGAAGTCAGATCAACGCCCTCACAAGGTGGCACTTGTTTCACTCGAAAATAACGAATGGGTTTTGGTCAACATATGAAGTTGCATGGGTCAATGGAAAAATATTGTTCATTAGTTTGTTTTCGCAAATTTTCTATTTTGGGATTAGAAAAAGGGAAATCGAGACGAAAATGGAGGCACGTGTTTCTTTTTACGGGAGCCCCTCATTTCAACAATTTTTTTATCTCCTGGGATTGAAATCCTTAACTAATTTTTATGATGATTCTTCAAGAATTTCAAGATCATTCGTCGTTCAGGTTTATCAATTATACACTTCAAAAAACTTTCCTCGGTGATCGAAATCGACTCAACATGCCAGTTGAGTTTTTTGCGATGTAACAATTTAAACCTTTTCATAATTGCAGACTTTTCAAATTTGTTCTGTCTAATGAAGTCTTTGTTGTAAATTTTCACTAATTTAACACGTTTTCTTATTTTAGCGCCCACTCGGAAACGAACGTATTCCATATCGCTTCATAAATGAAGGCTTCGCTCGATGTCTGTTGAAAACAAGGAAGTACCTCTTGAATCACTTTACTGTGCATGATTCTCGAAGCTTGATTCAAGCCAATATAATCAAAGTGGTGCTGTTTATTCGCGCAATGAGTGATATTCCAGAATCGTCGCCCTACGATGACGAAATCGCCTCAGAATTGAAGAATATGATTCAAAATATAAAAGACACTGCCTATCGAATGGGATTACATGAGGGAAACCCATTAGTACCAACGCAAGTGGTGTTGTTGACGGATCCAGGTGAGTGGAGAATTTTTTTCGAGAAATTTCAGTTGCCTAAATTGAAATCTGTGTGTTTAATGTTACAAATAGCACAAATATATTTTGCTTTCTAACGGAATTTGTAAAGAAAATGGTGAAACGTATCACTCTAGTAGATAGACTTTTTGAAATCCTTAAATTCTGTTCATAAATAGAAAAGATTTTTTTGATGAGGTGGAAAATTTATCCAATTGACCTACACGTGCAATACATTGTATCAGTGTTAAATTAGTTCTTCAGTCTTGTAATGGGTTCATAAACCATTCTTTATATCTTTTAATCTCTCATAGTTAACAGTTTTATTTCCTAGTCAAATATGATTTCTCCCATAACATTCTGTAAGCAATTTGCTTCAGATTAACATATCCTGTTTTTTATTACATCTGAGCCTTACTTATGCCCATTTGCATGTCATTAGAACATATTAAAAGAGTTGCTACACACTGGATATTGGTTGGGAAGGGTATGAAAAGGTGAAGAGCTAACACGAGAATCCTTTGTTTTCTTTTATTCCGGTTTGTATTTGTTGTGTCTGTAGACCATATCCAGGACATGGATGCCCTTGTTAATTTTTTCCCAAAGGATGTCCTAATAGTCATGGATTGCAGAAATTAACAGAAAAAAAACTGGAGTTTGTCACGCAACTTAGCTGATACTAGGTCTACTAAAACAAAAATACATTGAAGGCTTATGTAACTAGTACTGAATCTCTTTCCTACTTCAGAACTTTAGCCAAAAATTGCAATGCACTAATTTTCAGGGTCTTCAAGAATAAAAATTACATCGTTTTTTTTAAATGATTATAGAAACTTTAATGTTTGTTATTTTTTTGTAGAGTAATCATGCTTACTTGCTAATGTATTTTTTAGACAATTCGTTTTATTACTAGATAATCTCCCTATCTAATTTGGAATTATGTTTATATAGATGCCCTGTGAATCTTCGTAGAATTTAATCTATAAATTAGTAATAATTAAATAATCAACGAACAGACAGAAAATAAGGTTGTAGGAATTCATTTTTAAAATAGATCTCCAGCGAATTCTAGGAATTCCACAAAGATGATTCTTGCACGAATAATTTAAGGCAGAATGGCGTTTGAGCTAGGGTTGTGGAAATTATTCTTCTTCTGATATCTTTGCAATGTTGGTTTTGTTTCACTATCGTAGTTCACAACTTGGCAATTCAATTGTGTTTAAATATACTAACTACTGTTCTAACATCACTAAAGAACAGAGAAGACATTTTGTCAGTTACAACTAGTCTAAAAATGGCCATCCCTTCTACATATATAGAAGGAATAGTCGAAAACTAAGTTGTTACGTAAACTAAAGTAATAAGACTAGAATTACTGAAAATCCTATTATTTTAATATAGAAGTAAATAAAGATGTTTATAATTTTTTGAGAAATCGACAATAACGTACTGATAATGTTTCAGGATCAGGAGTCAAGATGCGTGATTGTTCGCAAATGTATTTGAGTAAAGTGTTCCTGTGTAAATTGTCTAATGTGACCAAGATAAGCGTAACTACTCTCGAATGCCTTATGCCGTCGTTCGATTTGCGGGGCTATCTACAAAGCGATAGACTATGCTCACACTTCGCTACCTACGCTTCATTCATACAGAAGATCCTTCAGGCCGAAGCATACGTCATCCAAATCGGGTCTAAATATTTATTTGATCGTCAACTTCTGACCTCCGACTGGCACTGATTCTTTTTAATAATGGGACTCGATGGAAGATACAATGGTCGTGTATTGTAAGTCATTCTGTGGTCCTCAAAAACGAAAACTTAATCACGATTTAACTTGGATTTGTGAAAGAAAGACTTAAGTAATGCCTATTGTGTCGAGAACAGAGAAACTTCGACATGTGATAAATTTACTTCTTTCTTAAACCGAATTTCCTTGTAGTGATGTAACATATACTGTTAATTGTTATTTATTAAGTTAAGTCAATTAAGCAAATCTCAGTCTAGTGTCTTGTTTTTGTAATCTAATGAAATAAAGTTTAATGATTTATTGGTTATAAAATTTAATGATTTACTTTTTCTTAAAGAAAAAAATTCCGGTTACAAACATGACAAAATACAGTATTTTTTTAAGATTAAATAGGATTTGAGCTATTTCTTGCTTTTATTAAAATAAGTCGAACATTTTGCAACCTGTTTAATTTAATCATTATAATCAGATCCGTCCCTAGATATATCTATTTCCACTCCACGTTCTTCTTACTTCGTTTCTCTTCTCCCCAAAATTTCAATTTTTTCAGCACACATTCCAAAGAGCAGAACTTTTTAAAATTGACACCCGGTGTACAAAATAGCTTGAGAAAGTAGTAACAACCTAATAACAGCGTAAACAGAGAGAACGAACTTGTAATGTAGGGAGACAGATAAGCATCCACCATGACGGTTTTTTCATTAGTTATACCCACGGTGGTTTCGTTATTAATGCCTTGTTTATTTAAAAAACTTTTCCTTTCGTTTCTGTTGAAACTCGAGCCTGCGTAATATTCTAACACGTATTTATCAGAAGAGATCCAAATGTCATTCTTGCTACGTCTATTGTTTCCATTATCATGAGTAACATTTTTGTTCTCTCTCCCTTTGTCTTTTACTGCGGGTAAATCGCCATTTTGTATTTCATTAGGTAAAATCGAATAGAGCGTTGGCGCATATTCCTATATCAAATCGTACAAGGGGGCGTTGGCGCATATTC